TCCGGGGCCGGGATAACCCATGAGCGTGAGGCCACGCCATGGTAACCCTAAGCCCTTCCTTACTTGGAGGACCAGGGGACTTAGTCGTTCCTTTAAGGATATTATAGGCTTCCTTAAAGAGATCCTGAAAGGGATCTATAAGGCTTCTAGAAAGGAGGATCAGGGGACCTAGCAAGCGGGGTTATAAGTCCCCTAGTTGGAGTTATAAGTTACGTTATTTATCACCCTAGTTACTAAGTCCCATGATCCTTTAAGTAACCAGCGCCAGCTGTTTTGGGTTTAGGGCATCTATAGGGGGTTTAAGGCTTCGGGTTTAGGGTTTATAGGTTTAAAGACACCAGGGTTCAGAGGGGGGTTGGCTTGCTGCCAGCACTCTTTGAGAAAACATTGAATTAGAGAACCATGTGCTAAACTTGGGCGAACATATGCTAGAATTTTGTACAGGATTACAGTAAGCGCTCTAAAATACTCTAGACCCAAGTCTCGAAAGACCAAACAACCCTAACCCCCAAAACCCCAAGAGAAGCCCAACCTGGGCATGTCAGAAAGATGAGTCTAGGCGTGTATCGACAGCACGCAAGTTCTATACCAAGACAAGAAAGAAAGATGGAGCCTAAATCTTAAACCCTAAACCCTAAGCCCTAAACCCTAAATCATAAACCCTTGACCCTATCCCAAACTGATACCGAAGCCCTAGGCTTCGTCTCATATCTTGATTATACCAGGCCCCACCATCCTATTCTAAGTGCCCAGACCCTAACCCCTAAAACCCTAAGCCCTAAACGCCTAAATCCCTAAACCCTAAAACTCTAAACCCCCAAGCCCTGAACCCTAAGCCCGAACCCCCAAACCCCGACTGCAAACCCCTAAGCCCTAAACCCCTAACCCCTAAACCCCTAAACCCCTAGACCCCTAAACCCCTAAAGCCCTAAACCCCTAAACCCCTAAAGCCCAAAAGTACCTCGGAGACCAACCCAGGTCTTCGAGACCCAAGCCCTCGGATGTCGAAGTTCCAGACCGTCAAGGGATACATGTAGAGCCGGAGCAGACTCCTTGGGTTTAGGGATTTAGCGGTTCTGGAGTTTCCGAAACTTAGGGGTACCTTGTTTTGGGGTCCTCAATTTAGGGTAACATATTAGGGTCAAGGGAGCAGACTCCTTGGGTTTAAAGTCAGGTTTAGGGTTTCGGGGCTTAGGGTTCAGGGGTTTAGGGTTTAGGGGTTTAGGGCTTAGGGTCAAGGGATACATGACTCCTTGGGCTTCAAGAAGGGTTTAGGGCTTAGTGTTCTGTATAAGTCTGAGGCTTATTTTGAGGGCTTAGGGTTTTTGGATTTTAGGGCTGTTGGGTTCCAAAGTTTCAGGGCTTGAGTGCCAGAGCCTTACAAGGGTTCGGGGTGCCCCTGTGTGTGGGTTTTGGGAATTTGCAGCTACGGCTGGGCGGCGTTTTTGGGATGTAGTGTTCAGGGTTTGGGGTTTAGGGTTTCGGGATTTAGGGTTCAGATGCTTCAGGGTGGAGGGTTTCGACTTCGGTCTCGACATTCACCGGGGCGCAGGCCACTCGAAGCCAAACTCTCATCAACACCCTGACCCTCAGGCTACATCAAGCAGCGGGTGCAAAGGCTACACCGCAAGAGCTAAGGGTATTATTAAAACTAAACCTCTTGTTAGGATCCAGGATCCGGAGTGACCCTCAACCCTAAAGCCTGAACCCGAAACCCCAAACCCTAAGCCCGAAACCTTAGACCCTTACAAACCGAAACCCCGGACCCTGCACGGCGAGGCCCCAGCGACGGAAGGATGCGGCCATTCTCCTCGCCGCGGATCACGAGCTCAAGGCCTCTCTGTAGCAGCGCGGGGGTCGACGGCTTGGGGCTTCAGTGGCTCAGGGTGTGGGGGTTAGGGTTTAGAGTTCAGGGTTTAGGGTTACGGGTTTAGGGTCAAGCAATTGGGGTTCAAGGTTTGGGGCTCAGGATGTTTAGGGTTTTAGGGTTTACGGGTTTAAAGTTGTTGGGGTTTAGGGTCTAGGGTTCGGGGTGCAGCGCTCAGAGTTTACGGTTTAGGGGATTCTAGAAGCGTTACTGGTGTTTCCAGGTTACCACAACGGTCACTCTAACCGCCAATACTCTAAAGCTTACTGGCAACTACGGGCTTAAGTCCGAAATTCGGTGGTAGAATGTGCTGCTCTGACCTGCACAGTCTTTTGACGTAGGTATGAAGCTTTAGACACTAATTCCGACGGTTTGAACCGAAGTCTACCCCACACGGCGCCTAGGTCCTGTCTTCCGTCCATGTTCAAGACCCCCACATCCTCCGGCCTCGGCAGTGCAGCGCATCCTGTAATAGTGGTATAATAGGAATATAACGGGGCCCTAATATAATCCTTACAGTCACTATTACAGGGTGGGGGCAGCTTCTGAAATGTCTGCTTGTGGTCGACAGAGTACAGATCGTCATTATGCCACCAACAGTAACTGCGGCCAGTGATGGTGGAAATTATGAATGGCGGCAAACACCTGGGCCACTAAGAAGAACCTTCAAAAACAGCAAATCAACATGATACGATCATCAGGAGCAGCGGCATCCTCACCACCATCAATATTATCAAAACAGCGCGTCCTTTGCCCACGACAGCACCGTATCAGCGAGAGTCTGCTTCCTTAAAGGATCATGGGACATAGTAACTAGGGTTATAATAAGGGTAGCTCTATTTATAACTACTTATAACCCCGATTAAGGTACACATAACCTTGCTTACTAAGTCCCATGATCCTCCAAGCAGGGCCTGAGAGAGAATAAGAGTACTGCAGCTGATGATATAAATCCTGCATTACCCATAATAAGGAATGTACCATAATTCCCATAGTTTAGGGTCCTTAAGGTAATGCAGGATTTATATCATCAACCGTGGGAGCTCTGCGGTGCCCTTACCTGCCGGTGCGCAGCTGCCTGCTTTAAGTGAGTAGTCTGCATCGATCCTACCCTCAAGTACCTTGAAATCTTCATCTCAAAACTCTAAACCCTGAAACCTAGTCAGCAGCTGGGGAGACGACGGATCTGGTAAGTCTGTGTCGATATCATCGACAAACTTCCGCAAGTAGATGCCGCCGATGCCTTGGCAGAAACGGTCCATCTGTAATGTTACAGAGTGAATAGAGTTTTGGGGCGAATTCTGCTATAACTATGATAAGGAACCATCGGAAGAATATAAGTGATTATTTAGGCCACAACCATTGCGATGCAATCTGAACTCCAAAACGAAGCTTGGTCGAACATTCTTGCCTTCCGGGCTGAAGGTCTTGTACAGTCGGAGGGCTTGGGTTTCAGGCGTTTCGTGGTCTCATATGGGAGTTTCCGAAAATTCGGGGTACCTTCTTTTGGGGTCCTCATAATAAGGATCCTACTCTTCAGGGTGCTAGAATAAGGTCGCCTATTTTCGGAAACTGCCATGTCTACTGGTGGTGGTAGTAGCAATGCTAGGATACCCAGTAACCTAGGAATAAAAAGGCCTCTCTTTTTGGTATTGGGTAACTTTATAAGGAACCTGGGACTACAAAAAGGGAATAAGGGTACTACTGGGCGTCCTAGAATGGCAGGGCTGTCATCATCCTTCAGTCATCAAGTAAGGGGAATCAAAAGAGAAAAGCCGTCACGGCTTCACTCACTGAAGCTCGGATATGGTGAGATCATACAGGGGCCTTAGTAATTAGACTAGGGTTTTGGGGCCCATTATATTATGTATTAATCGGGAACCCCCCAAATAGTATAGATAATTATTGAGGCCCCTATATCACTGGCCACAGCCTGCCCCCAGTCACAGGGCAGCCGCTTCCACTCATGTCCTTTTTCCCTGCGAGGCCCAGAGAGCCCAATACCCCTCAATTAAGGAATATAGCCTAAATCATAAGATGAAGCCCTATATTATAATTTAAGCCTTATTCAATACCCCTTAAAAAAGGAATACAGCCTAAATCATAATATGAAGCCCTATATTCTGATTAAAGCCATATTCCTTAGCTAAGGGGTATTGGGCTCTCTGGGAACGGAGAAACATCGGCCCGCTTGGCTTTTTCCGTTCGTCCAGGCTCACTCAAAGGATCATGGGACTTGGTAACTAGGGTTATAATTAAGGTAACTCTACTTTTAACTACTTACTGTTGATGATATAAATCGTGCATGACTGTGGGTCAGCCCATCATGTATCGTCAAAGCAGTTGCATCCCCGCGCCCCTAAATTTCAATGTTGATGTCAGAGGGGAGGTCATGCAGGATTTATATCATTCGCACGGTCCTATCAGAGCACGTCCGCCTGCGACAATGTTAAAATTCAGGGGTTCAAGGGGAGCGGCCTGTGTCTTGCAAACTCATGCAGGATTTATATCATCCACCGTCCAAGATGATGTGTAGCCGTGCTTTTGAGCTCCATATCCGTGGCTGTTGTTTACCGGCCGTGTGAAAGTACAGACGCGTGCGAGAATGACTCCACGTCGGCCGAGGTTGTTTGGGGTAGAAAGTGGGTGATGTTTTTTTTTGGCTCCGTCGAGCTGGGCCGGTGTGCTGAGTGCAAACATGTCTCATGACCTGATCTGGCCAGTTGCACAGGATTCACTGTTCGGTGAAGCATTTAGTCACGCAGGCTGTTTCGGGCAAAAAGTGGGTGGTGTCTTTTTTTTTTGGCTCCGTCGAGCTGGGCCGGTGTGCTGAGTGCAAACATGTCTCATGACCTTATCTGACCAGTTGCACAGGATTCACTGTTCGGTGAAGCATTTAGTCACGCAGGCTGCTTCGGGCAAAAAGTGGGTGTTTTTTTTGGCTCCGTCGAGCTGGGCCGGTGTGCTGAGTGCAAACATGTCTCGTGACCTGATCTGGCCAGTTGCACAGGATTCATTGTTCGGTGAAGCATTTAGTCATGCACTCTTCATGCCATAGAGCATGTTTTGGACCTTGGATCAAGCGGGTAGCACAGAGCTCCCACAGTACGCCCAGAGCAGCCAGTAGTGCGCCATGCCTGTCCCAGGTTGGACTAAGATGTCGGAGGAGCAGCGCGAGCTGGCGAGGGACTGGTATAGCCGCGGGAAGAAGCCATCCGAGATAGCTGAGCTGCTAGGTAGGGACACCTCGACCATGACACGGCTTCTGTGTATGCAGAAACAGCCGAAGAAACAGGGCCGGCCAAAAGCCTTGACCACGGCACAGGTCGACTTGCTCGAGCGGCGGCTGGATGAGCTGATCGTGAAGGTGGACGGCGCGACTACCATCACCGTCGAGACCTTGAAGAAGGCGACAAAATCCAAGGCAAGCACGCAATGCATCTTGCATGCACTGCACAAGCGGAACATTTACTTCCGCAAGCTTCGGGAGAAGCCTGTGCTGACGCCTGCGGATATCCGAGACAGGTATGCGTTCGCGAAGAAGTATCGTGGCAAATCGAAGCAGTGGTGGCTTAGCAATGTGCATGCGTTCATCGACGGGAAGCACTTTCAGGTTTACCTGACTGGAGCTGAACGTGTGCGTGCCGCCAAGCACGTCACGTTTGGTGCTTACCGCCGCCCTGGACAAGGTTTGTGCAAAGGCTATGTGAAACCCAAGGAGGGCAATCTGAGGCACAACACCGGAGCCAAGGGTGTCTTGCTGCATGTGGGTGTCGGCGCCGGCAAGGTCATCTCTGTCCAGGAGGTCGCAGGGCGGTGGAATGGTAACCCGGCGAGCGTTTTCTACAAGACACTTGCCAAGGACTTGGCTAAGGCATGGCCTGGTAAGCGCAAGTACACAGTCCTCGAGGACAATGACCCGACCGGGTACAAGTCTTCGAAGGGTTTGGCTGCGAAGCACGAAGCCCAGATTGGTGTCCTGGAGATCCCGAAGCGTAGCCCAGATCTCTCGGTCTTGGATTATGCCATTTGGAAGGAGGTCAACAAGCGCCTGCGGAAGCAGGAGAAGACGTGGAGTGGCGCCAAGCGTGAGACGCGGCCGCAGTACCTGAAGCGCCTGAAGAGGACCATCCGCAACCTGCCCAAAGCCTTCCTTGAGGACAGCATCGGGGACATGGTCCGACGCTGCAAGCGGCTGTATGAGTCCAAGGGCTACTTTTTCGAAGAGGGCGGCTCTAGCAACTGAGTGGAACTTTGAATCCTTCAGCAGGTGCAGGCGAGGCCGGAGGCCACGCTGCGACCCGGCAACTTCTCCTTGACCTTGATGTGTGATTGGTCCATTTAAGACTCGGACACTTCGTGCGGGGTGACAAAACTTGCACTGCAGCCTGAGTGATGAGTGCCGAGATTCACACTGACTTGAAGGGCGGGCTCTGCCCTTACCCTGATGCCCTGCTGCCCCTGCGCTTGCCCTTGCCCTGCCCTGCGCCGCCCCGCCCCTGGCCCTGGCTCGCCCGTGCCCTGCTTCTGGGCCCTGCATAGTTGCAAACTCGATTGTGCGGTTTTGCATAGTTGCAAACTAGTTGCAAACCTAGTTGCAAACCTAGTTGCAAACTCCACCTCTAAGGGGGGAAGCGGATTCGCACGTGAACTCTGAAGCTTGCTTCGATTGAAACAGCAGAAGTTGTGCTCCGTGCGTGTGCTTTTCCCCCTTAGAGGTGGAGTTTGCAACTAGGTTTGCAACTAGGTTTGCAACTAGTTTACAACTAGGCAAAACGGCACGGCTGGGTTTGCAACTATAGAGGGTTCATCATTCTTGGTTCTCGAAACCGTTGAATCTCACCAGTACTTGGGGGATGCGATTTCGAGGTTTCTCTGAATCCCGCAAGCTATTGGGGGGAAGCAGAAGTCGCATGTCTCGGGACACACCAGTGCTAGGGGGAAACAAGTTTCGTCCGAAAGCAGCTGGTGAGAAGCTTGAATGCCTCTTCCATAGTGACTGTGCTGAAAGTTGGGCTCAACAACCAGCAAGCAGGCTTGCGCCAGAGCTCGCCATGCCTAGCTCCAGCTCCTCGTCCTCCGGCGACGATGACTGTCCAGCTGCTGTGGCCCAGCCCGACTGGCTGACCCAGGAGGACGCTGCTGCCCGTAGCATGGTCTTCCTGGTGACGTTCGCTGCTGTTCTGAGCGAGACTGCTCTGGAAGCCGAAACTCCTCTGAAAGACTTGGCAGACCTCTCCCGCCTCCAAGTTCGGGATGCCTTGTTGGACGCAGTCGCGCATCCTGTGCCGGAGGCGACTCCTCGAGGTGGGCGGCCTCGGAGCAAGGTTTTGGAGGTCGTGAAGCTCGTTGTGTTTCTGGAGGAGCCAAAGCACTTCCACGCAGCTCTCAAGCTGAACACTTCAACGCGGTTCATGCCACTAAAACTCGCGCTGCGGCAGCGGTCTGGCTTGGCCTCGCATTGGAGCACAACGCACAAGCAGTGGTGGAGTGCCTTGCGCTATGGTGTTTTCACAACGGAGCGGAAGCCTGTTGTTGACTTCCAACCAGTAGCGTGGCTGAAGAGTCTCGGAAGTTTGGAGGCAATCCAGGTTGGAGACCGTCCGTGCCAAGAGTTTGTTGTTCCTGGTAGGGATGCAGTTGTCCTTAACCTCTACGAGGAATCCCAGGAGCCTTGGAGTGCCACCATGTGGACCAAGCGGCGCCAACAGGCCGAGGCTGCTGCTGCTGGTGCTGAGGCTTCCGGTGGCAAGAAAGCACGAGTCCCCAAGTTCAACCTCTTGGACTTCACGGCTCTGGTTCTGGAAAAAAAGCTGCTGACTCCAAGTGCAGTGCTAGCTTATGTGCAGGAGTACGGCTCGCACGCCTGCCAGCTCTTCTGTGTGCGGAACCAGAAGCGGCTTTCTGAACTGATCGCTGGTGCGGAGCAGTGGCAAGGTGCAAAGCAGCAGCATGCACTGGAGCAGGAGAGCGACTGGGCAGTAGTGCAGAGACTCGCGCAGACAAGTTGCAGCTGTCAAGGCAGCTGTGAGTGGTCAGAGGCGGCATGCGACTTCTTCAGCCGCAACCATGCCACTATTGACCAGGAGCTGCTTGCAGCCAGCTTAGCTAACGTTATCTGCCACGGTCCGAGCAAGACAGCCCGTGTCCCCATGCTAGCCGGCACGACCAATGCCGGGAAGAGTATGATCTTGGATCCACTTGTCAACGTCTTCGGCCGAAACGCAGTGGACTTTTGCCCAGCCCTCGGAGCATCGATGGCCCTGAGTTCGCTGGCGACCAACAAAGCTATTCGCTTCATCTACTGGGACGAGTTCTCTCCTACAGAGTTTGCGTCTCGCCCAGCAAGGTCGCCCACAGTGCCTGCCGTGACTTTCAAGAAGCTTTTTGCGGGCCAAATCTTGCGAATTCAGGTGAGCCAGTCGCATCACGATGGCAATCCTGATTTCAAGTGGACGAGAGGTGCAGCACTCACGGCTCCGCTGGAGGGACTGTGGGATGCAACCTCACCGGTTTCCCGAGAGGATGTGCGGCATATGCAAAGTCGCGTCATCCAATTTGATGCTCATGTTGCCATCAATGGGGCCTTAAAGAAGGTACCACATTGTGCCTCGAGCTGGTGCAGATTCGTAACGGAATCCTCTGCTGCGTACGCAGCACGCCGTCAAAGGCACTTGAGTGCCAGCGCAGCAGACCCTGTGATTGATGAGGAAGACCTGTAAGCGCGGACCCTCTTTCGCAGATCTGCAGAGCTCCCGATAATTCACTGCGGCTAACGCAAGGACACCAGGCACATACTGCCAGGATAAAAAACAAACAGAACGCCCCCTGCGCCGTACTGTTGATGATATAAATCGTGCATGACTGTGGGTCAGCCCATCATGTATCGTCAAAGCAGTTGCATCCCCGCGCCCCTAAATTTCCATGTTGATGTCAGAGGGGAGGTCATGCAGGATTTATATCATTCGCACGGTCCTATCAGAGCACGTCCGCCTGCGACAATGTTAAAATTCAGGGGTTCAAGGGGAGCGGCCTGTGTCTTACAAACTCATGCAGGATTTATATCATCCACCGTCCAAGATGATGTGTAGCCGTGCTTTTGAGCTCCATATCCGTGGCTGTTGTTTACCGGCCGTGTGAAAGTACAGACGCGTGCGAGAATGACTCCACGTCGGCCGAGGTTGTTTGGGGTAGAAAGTGGGTGATGTTTTTTTTTGGCTCCGTCGAGCTGGGCCGGTGTGCTGAGTGCAAACATGTCTCATGACCTGATCTGGCCAGTTGCACAGGATTCACTGTTCGGTGAAGCATTTAGTCACGCAGGCTGTTTCGGGCAAAAAGTGGGTGGTGTCTTTTTTTTTTGGCTCCGTCGAGCTGGGCCGGTGTGCTGAGTGCAAACATGTCTCATGACCTTATCTGACCAGTTGCACAGGATTCACTGTTCGGTGAAGCATTTAGTCACGCAGGCTGCTTCGGGCAAAAAGTGGGTGTTTTTTTTGGCTCCGTCGAGCTGGGCCGGTGTGCTGAGTGCAAACATGTCTCGTGACCTGATCTGGCCAGTTGCACAGGATTCATTGTTCGGTGAAGCATTTAGTCATGCACTCTTCATGCCATAGAGCATGTTTTGGACCTTGGATCAAGCGGGTAGCACAGAGCTCCCACAGTACGCCCAGAGCAGCCAGTAGTGCGCCATGCCTGTCCCAGGTTGGACTAAGATGTCGGAGGAGCAGCGCGAGCTGGCGAGGGACTGGTATAGCCGCGGGAAGAAGCCATCCGAGATAGCTGAGCTGCTAGGTAGGGACACCTCGACCATGACACGGCTTCTGTGTATGCAGAAACAGCCGAAGAAACAGGGCCGGCCAAAAGCCTTGACCACGGCACAGGTCGACTTGCTCGAGCGGCGGCTGGATGAGCTGATCGTGAAGGTGGACGGCGCGACTACCATCACCGTCGAGACCTTGAAGAAGGCGACAAAATCCAAGGCAAGCACGCAATGCATCTTGCATGCACTGCACAAGCGGAACATTTACTTCCGCAAGCTTCGGGAGAAGCCTGTGCTGACGCCTGCGGATATCCGAGACAGGTATGCGTTCGCGAAGAAGTATCGTGGCAAATCGAAGCAGTGGTGGCTTAGCAATGTGCATGCGTTCATCGACGGGAAGCACTTTCAGGTTTACCTGACTGGAGCTGAACGTGTGCGTGCCGCCAAGCACGTCACGTTTGGTGCTTACCGCCGCCCTGGACAAGGTTTGTGCAAAGGCTATGTGAAACCCAAGGAGGGCAATCTGAGGCACAACACCGGAGCCAAGGGTGTCTTGCTGCATGTGGGTGTCGGCGCCGGCAAGGTCATCTCTGTCCAGGAGGTCGCAGGGCGGTGGAATGGTAACCCGGCGAGCGTTTTCTACAAGACACTTGCCAAGGACTTGGCTAAGGCATGGCCTGGTAAGCGCAAGTACACAGTCCTCGAGGACAATGACCCGACCGGGTACAAGTCTTCGAAGGGTTTGGCTGCGAAGCACGAAGCCCAGATTGGTGTCCTGGAGATCCCGAAGCGTAGCCCAGATCTCTCGGTCTTGGATTATGCCATTTGGAAGGAGGTCAACAAGCGCCTGCGGAAGCAGGAGAAGACGTGGAGTGGCGCCAAGCGTGAGACGCGGCCGCAGTACCTGAAGCGCCTGAAGAGGACCATCCGCAACCTGCCCAAAGCCTTCCTTGAGGACAGCATCGGGGACATGGTCCGACGCTGCAAGCGGCTGTATGAGTCCAAGGGCTACTTTTTCGAAGAGGGCGGCTCTAGCAACTGAGTGGAACTTTGAATCCTTCAGCAGGTGCAGGCGAGGCCGGAGGCCACGCTGCGACCCGGCAACTTCTCCTTGACCTTGATGTGTGATTGGTCCATTTAAGACTCGGACACTTCGTGCGGGGTGACAAAACTTGCACTGCAGCCTGAGTGATGAGTGCCGAGATTCACACTGACTTGAAGGGCGGGCTCTGCCCTTACCCTGATGCCCTGCTGCCCCTGCGCTTGCCCTTGCCCTGCCCTGCGCCGCCCCGCCCCTGGCCCTGGCTCGCCCGTGCCCTGCTTCTGGGCCCTGCATAGTTGCAAACTCGATTGTGCGGTTTTGCATAGTTGCAAACTAGTTGCAAACCTAGTTGCAAACCTAGTTGCAAACTCCACCTCTAAGGGGGGAAGCGGATTCGCACGTGAACTCTGAAGCTTGCTTCGATTGAAACAGCAGAAGTTGTGCTCCGTGCGTGTGCTTTTCCCCCTTAGAGGTGGAGTTTGCAACTAGGTTTGCAACTAGGTTTGCAACTAGTTTACAACTAGGCAAAACGGCACGGCTGGGTTTGCAACTATAGAGGGTTCATCATTCTTGGTTCTCGAAACCGTTGAATCTCACCAGTACTTGGGGGATGCGATTTCGAGGTTTCTCTGAATCCCGCAAGCTATTGGGGGGAAGCAGAAGTCGCATGTCTCGGGACACACCAGTGCTAGGGGGAAACAAGTTTCGTCCGAAAGCAGCTGGTGAGAAGCTTGAATGCCTCTTCCATAGTGACTGTGCTGAAAGTTGGGCTCAACAACCAGCAAGCAGGCTTGCGCCAGAGCTCGCCATGCCTAGCTCCAGCTCCTCGTCCTCCGGCGACGATGACTGTCCAGCTGCTGTGGCCCAGCCCGACTGGCTGACCCAGGAGGACGCTGCTGCCCGTAGCATGGTCTTCCTGGTGACGTTCGCTGCTGTTCTGAGCGAGACTGCTCTGGAAGCCGAAACTCCTCTGAAAGACTTGGCAGACCTCTCCCGCCTCCAAGTTCGGGATGCCTTGTTGGACGCAGTCGCGCATCCTGTGCCGGAGGCGACTCCTCGAGGTGGGCGGCCTCGGAGCAAGGTTTTGGAGGTCGTGAAGCTCGTTGTGTTTCTGGAGGAGCCAAAGCACTTCCACGCAGCTCTCAAGCTGAACACTTCAACGCGGTTCATGCCACTAAACCTCGCGCTGCGGCAGCGGTCTGGCTTGGCCTCGCATTGGAGCACAACGCACAAGCAGTGGTGGAGTGCCTTGCGCTATGGTGTTTTCACAACGGAGCGGAAGCCTGTTGTTGACTTCCAACCAGTAGCGTGGCTGAAGAGTCTCGGAAGTTTGGAGGCAATCCAGGTTGGAGACCGTCCGTGCCAAGAGTTTGTTGTTCCTGGTAGGGATGCAGTTGTCCTTAACCTCTACGAGGAATCCCAGGAGCCTTGGAGTGCCACCATGTGGACCAAGCGGCGCCAACAGGCCGAGGCTGCTGCTGCTGGTGCTGAGGCTTCCGGTGGCAAGAAAGCACGAGTCCCCAAGTTCAACCTCTTGGACTTCACGGCTCTGGCTCTGGAAAAAAAGCTGCTGACTCCAAGTGCAGTGCTAGCTTATGTGCAGGAGTACGGCTCGCACGCCTGCCAGCTCTTCTGTGTGCGGAACCAGAAGCGGCTTTCTGAACTGATCGCTGGTGCGGAGCAGTGGCAAGGTGCAAAGCAGCAGCATGCACTGGAGCAGGAGAGCGACTGGGCAGTAGTGCAGAGACTCGCGCAGACAAGTTGCAGCTGTCAAGGCAGCTGTGAGTGGTCAGAGGCGGCATGCGACTTCTTCAGCCGCAACCATGCCACTATTGACCAGGAGCTG